AATTGTGATTTCTGTAACCGTAACAAACAGCCTACGCACACGCATAGAGCACCACTCGTACCTATGCTAACGGAAGCGCCGAACCAGCGCGTAGGGATCGACATAATGGGCCCACTCCCAACTACCAAGAGAGGTAACCGCTATATCCTAGTGATGATTGATTACTTCACAAAATGGTGTGAAGCAGTACCTTTACAACGGCAAGATGCAAATAGCGTAGCCCAGGCGTTCATTGACAATTGGATTACTCGTTTTGGTGCCCCCCATTCACTGCATTCACATCAAGGTGCCGCTTTTGAAAGTCAACTGGTTCATCACATCTGCAGCGTATTTGGCGTTCGGAAGACTCGCACGACTGCTTACCACCCAGAAGGAAACGGGTTGGTGGAACGTACAAATCGAACCCTCAAGAGTATCTTACGTGCTTTCCTCGATCGCTTATCCACTGGCGCTTGGGATGAGACACTGCCTCAATATCTTCTGGCTTATCGTACTTCCGTGCACTCCTCCACGGGTTTCTCACCCGCGTTACTTCTGCATGGCCAAGAATTACGCCTTCCCATCGAATTCCAAGTTCCTCCCCTACCCTTTGAAAAGATTGACCATATCTCTTATGTCCGGCAACTACGCAACCGTTTAGCAATCGCTTACGATCTGGCGCGCACGCAACAAAAGTTGTCAAGTTACCACCAGAAGAATGTGTATGAATGTTTCGCTCGTGGTCCAACTTATGCTGTCGGTGATCACGTTTGGCTTCACCGTCATCCTGGGCCAAATGCAAAATTCTGTTCCCCATGGCACGGGCCCTTCGAGATCGTGCGGATGTGTCCACCCACCACTTACTTCCTAAAAAATATTCAGCAACCAAATGACGATATTATTCCTGCTCAATACAACCAACTCAAGCCACATCGCCTTTTTCCATCCAATAATCTGGCCTCTCACGATGAACCCCCACCTGCCAGCTGTCAGTATGAAGTTCCAGCCGTTGGAGGTGCAGGCTACCCAATTCCTTCCTCGGGCACTGAGGACTGCCCTCGGAAGGAGGGGGACAGTGTAAGAGAAACAAAACTAATATTGTAACACTAATCAATGTTTTATTTTCTCTACTTGCAGGAAGACACCAGGGACTCAACTGCCTGGACGAGGAATTGCAGAACCTGAACATTAATGAAGCTCAGTAAAACTGTAATTCCCTAAAACTGTACCCCGACTTTTTAAAAAGTCCATTCTCGCTGAATAAACTCTTTCCTGTGCAGTTGGTGTTCTGCTTTCATTACGGTGTGCCTGCTGGTTGCCTGTTACAAATACACAATCGTACTCTTCGCAAGTGCCTTTTGATTTACGTTGTGGGCGTCGAGTAGCCGCAACGTCTGCGCACATTAATAAAAGTGAAGAAGTACTAGAATATACGTGTCCGTATGTTTAGTCAAATAACGCACGCAACAGTGTTTGGTTAACTTTCATTTGTTTTTCTAATTCAGTAGATTTTAAAGTTTCACGCAAAAAACACTGCGCCACCTAAGAAACTTGGACAGTCCTAGAAGTAATAGAAGAAAAATGCCTTTCAAATGTTCAAATCTTATAAATAACTGTACATCCGTAAATGTGTACATGACTAGTGGGAAATGGTTAACAAGAATTCAATTACTTTTCAGTTCACCTTCACGCATTTTAACACTTCTTAATCATTCCTTATACCGTGAAAATATTGATACATTGTCAAATGAAAAAAAATTCCCACAGATCGAACTAATCTCAGTAGTTGGAATTCATATCTTTTATTTTAGTAATAGTAGACTAACTATTTAGTCGGTTATGCAGAGTGTATTGTAACAAATAACAAACAGGGAAGTGCTTTATATTCCAGACTTGAATGTTACTTCAGTCGCTTTCCTTTCATTTGTGAGAATCACTACCGCCGGAAAGTCATCTTCATAGAGCTTCTTCATCATTTTCCAAAGTATGTTAGGCAACATGTGCATCCTGAAATTTAAATACTGGATAGCTATTTCATCTAAGTTAGGGAATCTTCATCAGTACTCACCCACTGGGATTCGAACTCAGGACCTTCTAAATACAAGGAGAGCTCGTAGACCATTTAGCAACTGAGACAGATAGCCCATGAATTCTAACTTCCACTGAATCACAACATAGCGCAACCACTAGCCAATGTATTCGGTGAGTATTTGTCCTCACGCCCGTCTTCATGAAGAGTCCCGAAATAAGACAGAACATTTCTTCAGCACTCTCAGGTTTCGCATATGTATATACACCTAAATTGTTCAGTGATGGTATTTGACTGGTGATTACTTAAATGTTATATTTTTATCGACCTGAATGAAAGTATAAATGTTAATGCCTGCATCACATTGCTCCAAGATTATTCTTTTTTATCTATCTTCAACTGAAACCCCACTCTGGCCAGAAAACTGAAACAAAAAAGTAGTTAGGCTAGTAGTGACCCATTTTTTTTACTCATCTTTGTAGTGTACTTTCACTATGTAATTGGAGTTTGATTTGTTTATCACTGTGAACATTGTGCGTTAACAATTGATACTTTTGTACTCGCTCAACTTTTGAATTTTGATTACTGTGACAATACACGTTTGTACACCTTCTCAGGTGCTTTTTGATTTATGTTGTGGACGTCGAGCAAACAAAACGTTAGGACACAATAATAAACGAGAAGAAGTACTAGGATATACGTGTACGCTAGTTTGATCAAAAAGAGCACCACAACAAGCTGACTGACTATTATAAAATGCAAAATAATCGAGCAAAGAATATTCTTTTCGATGTCTGAATGAATATTTTTGCCATATTATAAAATGAATCACATCCAGCATTCTGGAAACGCATGCTCACAGTCACTACATCCTCAATCCTGTTTGTGCTCACAACATAGCCTCAATGACCAAGCCCGTAATCCAAAATGCGATGGCGTCTAATGTCTCTAGCAAACTACGTTCATGTCGTATTTTTCGTGTTAACTATCGTTATTCTTGGAAGTACTTTCTGAATGATATAGGGGTAAAGCCAACATAGTCTCATCAACGCAGAAAGAGCATCTGTGGCATTCATAATTGCAACTACATATTAGAGACTATCAGCAACATGCAGTCGCCTCCTCACCGTCAAAATCGAAACTAGTTGTTCCTTATACAAAGTTTCCATTATATATATATATATATATATATATATATATATATATATATATATATATAGGACATCTTAAAGTGCTTGTTTCCACTATTACGTTAAGAGTTTTGTCTCAGTTTTAATTATTTCTCTGTTGAGTGTGAGAGAAATAGGTGCAGTTTGTTGAAGTGATACATGGAAAAGAAAATGTTCTTCACTGTGAAGTGTTAATAGTCATCAGTTTAAGTTGGATATAGAACATACTGAAACATTCAACAAGTAACAGATTAACTGTGTCTAGTATGCACTATTCTCGATGTTTTTCAAGAGCAACTACCAATTTTGTTGTGTATTTGTAATACGAAAAATGAAAATATAGAATGTAGTAATTTATTGTACTTGAAATATTAATATACCGGGATGACGGAATTATAGGAATCTAATCAAAACCCAGAGAGGGCAGCAATCCGGAATTTGTATTTAGCGGAATTCGAATGCAATTCATATATGAAACATATCAACAGTCAACAGTAAGTATTTTAAACAATACAGAGATAGAAATTGTCAATCACCACATAGAAGTACGTTTAGTTAGTAAATTCTGTTTTTTTGAGAACACTTTTCAAGTATACCAATTACATAACATCAAAAAATAAGTGTGATTGTATTAAATGGCATTCTCAAGTAATTTTTCTAGGTTATTTTAGGAAGTCGACGGAGAGATACTATAATTTGAAACTTTTCAGAAGAATATATTTACCAAATCACTTTCTGTTATTCCTAGACAACAGACGAATATTTGTTAACCTCAGTGTTTTTCTTAGTATAACACTGATCAGTGCACAATTTTCCATATCGTGTCTCTCTACAATTATCTTAATTCAACGAAATTTTCGCCAGTGATAGCGAAAATAATTACATCTGTTTTCACACTATGAATGTGTAATGGTAAATATTGCCCCGAAATTGTTATGCTCTGACATTCTTTACACAACGCCAGATTCCGATCTTCAGTGTTTAAGTTTACTTGTGCTGGCTGAAGGCGCGTAATCAATAACCCACGTCATTTAGCACTCTGTGGTGTAATGTTTGGTCGCTCGTGCACGATCCCTAACTAGTTAAGTACTTGTCATCACTTTACGTTATATAATAATAATAATAATGTTTCCTTCACGTTTCCAGTGGAACATAGGGCTTCAATCTAGTGGCTTGAAGTTTCTGTAGCAGTTTTTATTTTACAGGATGGGGTTGCTAACCTCATGCCCAACCCTTCCTTTTTACCAGCATTATTTCTGGCTTAGCGAGGTAAAGGAGTGCGTCTGTGGCCGGGGATCGAACCCCGGACCACGTGCATGGTCGGCGAGCGCCCTAACCCCTGCACCACCGACGCACTCACTTTACGTTCCTAATCACTAAACACCTCTTGTGTTTTGCATGATCCATTTGTAGTTATGATTTACTTTTTTTCTCAAGAGAACAAGTATTGTGGAAGTTACAGGATAAATACCTGCGTTCGTGTATAACGTATATCGCGTGAACGTCGACGTCTTTCACCTCTTAAAGACATCTCGAGATAAAAAGGAGGCATTGAATCAAGTCATGCCCTTCAAAGTATTTACTTATATATTTAAGTGAAATCTGGTTGTATTGAGAAAGCGTGTTTATTGGCAGCTGCATTAGACCTTAGGGTCAACAATAGACTTGTAAAGAATAAAAAATCACAGGAGGATAGATTAAGTGTATTTAATTTCAAGGTTACAACAAATTATTATATCCAAGTTAAGTGAAATGGAAACATGTCCAGTTAATGAAATTGAACACAATATTGCAAGATTGAAGTATAAAGAGGTTGAATAACTTTAGTTATCATCATAATACTCGTCATAATAGTCCATTGTTTCAACTGTTTGAGGTTTTTTGATCAAAGCCGCGAATAATGGCGTTCTCAAAACTTTATCGTAAATGAAACAAACAAATGGCTCATTTACATGGAATGTTACATTAGCATGAAACACCCTGAAGCTACGACCAAGTGAATACATTCCTGTGGCTGCCGCTGCTTCAACACCCTTTTCATCAACTTTCAAAACTGTTGTCTGACTTAGGAAATCCACCTTCAACTTTTCAGAAGTTGTGATACCTAAGAACAAGGAAAAATACATTAGGAAATATTATCTCTCGTGAATAACAATTATGTAGAAAATAGTATCAAGTTAGTTGTTACTAATTTGGCCAAAAAAGAGACTAACTTTGACTAATAATGCGACTCCATCAAGTAATTTTGAAAGATTACCTTGACGAACGAGAATTAAGATCATGATCTGTTAATGGTCACTATTTATAGTCACGATATAGTATTTCAAGTAAAAATAACTTGAGGAGAGTTTTCAAATATTGATTTCGTGGGAATTTTGCTTGATTGGTTGGTTGATTTCGTCTTGAGCTGACGTCAGTTAGATAATATAGGAGTACTGAACGGCTGTTTCGTCCTAGTTTGGGACCTTTTGCCAGTACGCATCCCCACAGGGGTTCGAACCCGTGATATTCTGGTTACAAGGTAAGGTAATCAAGTCATATAAGGTAAACTGAATACATAACTTAAAAAGTCGGCCCTTTTTAATTATTGGGGGTTTTGGTAGAATTTATTTGTTATTTTTGAAGTGGACGTATAGTCCCGTAACTGTATATGTGATGGCTTGAAATGGAAATTTCAGTGGACCAAATGTTATGTAAAGTAAAAAGGTGGACATGCGACAATAGCTGGCAGAAGTCGCTCAATGAAAACAGCAGTTAACATGTTTGCGTGCATAACTTTTAGAGTTCCAAAATTATAACTGTTCGTTTCCTACAGAGATACCTCACTTTTAAATACGAATTTACGAAATAATAGAAGAGTGTATATTCTTCAGAAACAATACGATACGTTCATTATTCATAGTGTAATGCATCTTTGAAATAATATGAAGTTAAAATTATGCTTTTCCATACAGAACGATAGCACCATTTTTTCCATCTTTCCTTGACGTTTCGACGTCTTTGGATGTAATGAAAAAGTGTTCCAAGAAGTACCTAATATTTGTTAACAGCACTTTAATGAATTTGGATCAAGCAAAGGATAAGATTCTCATGTGTACAGGAGAGAATCCCATCATTTAAACATTTCGTCAAACATGACAGCTACAAGACAACGCATAGATAAAACCTTGAAAATAACTTTCGTACTCTACTTACCTGATAAGTTTGCTCTACGACTATCAAACATATCAGTTATTCCCATCTTTTTCATTATCTCAATCAGATTTATAGAATTTTCTGCCTTGAATTTAGGCAATAGTATGTGCAAAAATTCTGGTTTTAATCTGTCGACAAAAAGTGGTAGTCTACGTTCTCCTTTCAGTAGACTAAGAATTTTGTGCAATTCGAACTTCACTGTGGGTAGGACAGCAATAAATGTGAACCGCGAATTCTGTTGGGAAAAAATTTTGTTTAAAAAGGAAAAACTTGGATAAGTCTACAGTTACTAAATATTACAGTCATAAGGGGTGAAAAACAAACACACATTATCTTAGCTTCAGTACCTTATTGTTTTTTTTTGCTTTATTTATGAGGATAACCAAATATGCCAACCACGTAGGTGATTTGGCTTCCAATTCTCTGCCAATGCACTCCGGCACCTCTATTAACCGGAAGTAAGTTCAGTAAAAGCGGTAAATTAAGCGTGACGCTGGTAACCCCAAACCAAACAGAATGCTACAGATAGTTCAAATCTCAAGCTTGAAGTCCTTTGTTCCACTGGGAACGCAAATGGAATAAAAAATTTTTGGAATGAATAAATTTGTCACATTTTGTATGATTGCAAAGGCCTGAAATTATAAGCTCACTACCAGATAGCCTTAGAAGTTTGTACGTGGTTATGAAGTGATTTTTATCTAATCATATGAATGATTTATTTCGTCGTACAGCAAACGTAATTGATTTCGATCTTATAAAGGCTCACAGGTTTATTTATAGAAAATACACTTTCCGCGTTATCTGTAGATATTACAAAGCTAACAAGAGGTTCATAAAAAATATCTTTTACATTCACCGTTACTGTACAGTCACAATTCAGATACATGCGTTAACGTAGTGACGATTACTATTTAATTCTACATAGTCGCGAGGATAAGATCTAAGGGGGACAGCAATTTTCAACTTAATATGAAAATTTTGCAAGTGTGATTCGAGATGAATATTAGTCACAGATATAGTTTCATAATATGTAAATAATGCTCTTCAAAAAATCAGTGTGATCAAGGCTTACATAGAAACAGAGTAACTGAAGATGAAAAAATTATGAAAGAGAAGAATAATAAAGAATCAAAGGAAAGGAAACCAAATAAGACTAGATCCATGGTAGATGCATTAGACGCTGGCTTCTGTAATGTGAAATAGTTGGAAATACACTGTGTGTGGTAAAATTTTCAGTTATTTTTCTAAATGACTCTGAGTGATGAGTCAGTTGAGAGATGCTCAGTTATGGTGCTTCAGAGTGAACCAGTGCCTCCTCTTTGCAGTCATTCTGGCTAGTGTTTTGAAAGAAATCTCATAGAATGTCTTGTATACCTGGCTCCACAGTAGCCGGTGAACTGATATATGCTCACTGGATTGGTCATGTGCAGGATTTTGTCCCTTTCCTGAAATCTAGGGTCGTGTGCAATGTTTGATTTGATTTTCTTCACAGACTTCACAGGACATTCATTCCAGAATAGGATCCGTATTATAAGTGACAGTGTTTCTTTTAAGTAGTCGATTCAAAGGATTCTTCTGATACAGTAAAGAGGTTAAGTGACAGTTCTTTTACAGCGAGCAGACATTCAGACATAAAAACATCCGAGGAAGATTTTCCTAAACTGATCTTTTCAGAGTTCCATCATCTTTTCCTGTTACTCTACAACCAGAAATGGAATGTTTCGTTCATCTTTAACTTTTTGTATGAATTTAACTGGAGGATTACAACTAACAGATTCTTGTAGAAGATAAGTTAAGTTAGGAAAACTAGGACGAATCACAAAATTGTTGTAATCATAATTTTTACACGGCAGTAATACTTCGCTTATTAGTTTTCATATAAAGTTTTCCAAATAAGACACGAAGCGATATGCCAAAACTGAGATAAGAACAGAGTTCATTACTATCCTATCTTTCTGTCTGTAGGTATTTCTGAAGGTGAATTGTAAATTGAATGAGCATCCTAATGATCATTATTTTGAATATGAGGACAATATACTGCTTTTTGAGTTAATATTATCCATACATTTACATAAGTATTATTATTTTTGTTTCCTTTAGTTTCTAGAGGAACATAGGGCTTCAGCTGCACGTCTCCATTGCGTTAGGTTCTCTGCCAAAGTTTTTACCTGACTCCACGTCTGCCCATATGCCCAACTCGCCGCTTCCCATTTGGGTATCACTCGACAGTTTGTCGTGTGATGTCATTTGATGGTTTTCTCAAGGTATGGCCAGTCCATCGCCATTCCTTCCTGCACATTTGTTTCCTGCTGTGTTAGTTCGCTCATTGTCAGAGATCCATGTTGATGATCTCTTCTGGCTGGCCATCTGATCTTGAGCAAAGTACTGAGTGAAGACAGCTGTTGATGAAGGTGTGTAGTTTGTCCGAAGTGCCCATCGTGACGCTCTGGCTAAGACTCTGATCTGCATAATAGCACTGACTTCACATTAGAGTTGAAAATCCGGATGTTTTTTCATTTTCATGCTGAGCGCTGTTGATCTCCACACAGACCTGAGAGCAATGAAAGCTTGTCTTGATTTCTCGATCCTCGTCCTGGTATCCTCATCAGTCCCTCCTGTAGTTGAAACGATGATTTTCACATAGGTAGGTAGGTGGGTGGGTGAAAGAGGTTGCTTCTTTCAGATTTCTCCCATTTATGCTGAATGTTGTCTATTGTTGTTGCTATTACTGTTGACTGGGAATCTTCATCACCTCTGTCTCCACCTTCTCTACGTTCACCTGAAGTCCTATCTTCTCTGGGTGTCTCTTCTGCTAACTTGTTGCTTTTCACTTGTATATCTTCCAGTTTGTGAGAAATCAGACATATATCATCGGCGAAGTCAACATCCTCCAAGTATTTTGTGTGGGTCCATTTTATGTCTGTTTCCTCGCCGCCCTCTATCTCTCTCATTATTCAGTCTACCATAGTCAGGAAAATCAGTGAAGATACCAGGCAGCCAGCTTGTCTTACTCCCGTCTTCACTTCGAAGGATTCCGTGAGTTTTCCGTTGTGGACTACTTGGCATTCACTATTGTCCTAAAACTGTTGGATGAGGTGTATAATTGTTGGCGGCACCCCTTGGTGGTAGCGAAGTAGTTGCCAAATCATCTCTCGATTGACGTTGTCGAAGACGTTTTCAAAGTCAATGAAGTTGAGGTAGACAGCTGACTGCCATTCCAATCTCTCTTCAATGATGATCCGTAGTGTTGAGATTTGATCGATGCATTACCTTTCTCCTCCTGAATTCAGCTTGTTCCGGTTGAAATTTTCACTCAGGGCGTGTTTGATTTTCTCCAGGATGATGCGGTTTAATATTTTGCTTGGAATGGACAACACCATAATACCGCACCAGTTATTGCATTGACTTAAATCTCAGCTTAGACAGCCTAATCAGTTCAAATGACCCGAATTCGGATTGGCTAGTCAGAAAAACCTATAATCCATAGAGTTAAATTCGTCATTTAAAAGTAAGAAATCACCATACTTTCCTTGAAAACTAAAAATATTTAAATCATAGTATTCGATCCGCTTGAAAATATAAATTCCAATCAAGAATGCAAGAGCAATACAATGACCTCGTATACCACTTATAGACTGAAGTAAGTCTTTGCAAACAAAATAATTGAGGTTAAACTGTAGCGCTTGTAACGAGTACCAGGAAAAATGGTAGTTTGCATACATAGTGTTCTGCATTTGCTTTTTGTTGTAATTAATTAAAACAAACTCCTGTATCAGCACTCATGTTGTCTCTTACTTACCTTGAATTCCTTACTAATCATACGGAAACCAAGTTTTCCGAAACTTGCATAACCAACAGTTTCATGAACGGACATAAATTCAACTTCAATCTTCTCTGATTTGTTTACATGGAATTTGTCAGACCGAGTATATGCTTGATCGAATTTCTTCTGCCAAACATCTTGTGGGGAAACATGAAGACAGACAGTAATATCAAATTAGTGTTTGATCGAAACGAAAGAAGGTTATTACTTGGAAATCAATAACACAAATTTGATACACCAGTGCCAATCAGAGTACACTAGAACAGTGAATGGAATGACTATTACACACTGAGTGAGAATGAAAAAAATGAATTTTAAGGGAACCCTTCATCATAAGGAATATATGGAAAAGTCATTACTTAAGAAATTCAGTGTATACGCAGATGTTTTCAAGAATACAAGTTAGCACAGTGTCTGTGAACCAGAAAAATTATACAACAAATCCACAGAAACTTAATTTTAATTAACTCTTACCTTTGAAAGTCACCACATTGATCAAGGCTAATCGTGTATCTGTAGGCAGTTCCGAACGATCTTTGAAGTATTCACTGATCAGTCCGTTAGATTTGTTGTTTACCCATTCGTTGATACTTTTTATTGACCTGTTTTGATCCTTAAAATTTAACTACATTTTGTTGAAAATTAAAAAATGTGAAATAATAACCTAAGCATTTATCAGTAATGTATGCTGAATAACATTTCGTCATAAATAAATTTCTCAGCCTTCATGATTACACTGTTCCTAAGATAAATAAAATTTCATTGATGACAGATCTTGATATTTCACACAGTACTTGACGAAATCCAATCAGAAATTTTGTTAGACCTGAAAACGTCAGTTCAGTTTTGTTATAAGACTCATCTTGACTACAATGAAGTGAGATGAACGCATAATTTGTCTCATATAATAATAATAATTTTTTACGCTAATCTGATGCGTTGTTTGAAATAATCTTGTCAGTGTAAATCGATTTTCATTTTATCTAGTGGAAAATGAGGTTATAAGTGTTCACCGCTTCATAACCTTATCGGTACTCTACCTAGCGTGTAAGTATTGACTAACGAAATCAAAGTAAAAAGCCTTGAAACTGGACGTCTGTCCTGAAGATAGTTGCATTTTACACGAATGAAATATCGATTTAAATAAATAAGAATGTTGTACAACTTATCTAATACCTCGGCTGTGTGTGCGCTGAATGGTAGCACAACAAGGCAGCGAACCAAGTGTGTACAATCGCTTCAGAAATCACAAGATGGCGTGGCGCCAAAAGTTGGTGAACGAGTTAAAAGAAAAATTCAAACATTCAAGGTATACTACAAGGTCATGTTACCATTCAGATCACTAGGTTGAAATGCAATGATCCATATCATATAATTTCTGACTATTCACAATAAGCTGTTAGTAGAATTCATCACTGTCTCCATCGTCTCCTACATGGCCACCTGTGAAGTTGACTAATTCTGGTTATAAATCTATGAAGTTCAACTTATAATTAGTTGCCAACATCTATGCATAGTAGGTGATCTGTGTAACACAATAATGTAGTTGATAAACTATGCACTGCCGCAGTGTAACCTTGTGGTTATTGATATTTCGGCTTCGTAGTATGACAGCTTTTAGTTTATTTCTTTTCCTTATTTTGGGTTTATGATGTTGAATAGTATTAAACTCGCATATAAAAGCTGTTCAATGCTTTTTGGATTTCAATATTTTTTCTATATGAATTGAAGTCTAAATCTAAAAAGGAGTATAGATAACAGGATGAAATCAACATGCGCTCTTGGAGCTTTATTTTCCCTGTCAGTACCTAAGGAATTAATAATGAGTAAATGATCAGTTCATGTTGACTTCGACCTTCAAAATCATGTGAGATTTAAACTCATGCTGTGCTTAAAAATTTAAATTTTCAAAATAAACAACAACATAAAAATGAGTACTTGGAGAGAAATTCTTACATTTTCCACTTCACACATTAAGTCATTTTTCATCACATGTTGAAAAGGCTTTTTGAAATGATATTGTTTCCTTAGAAATACTCCAGTTTCAACATTGACTACACTCTCATTTGTTGCATTGATCATTGTCCTCTCAGCCGATAGACTCTTCTTCAAAAGTAAATACATATTCCTCGCTTTTCTTGTCCTCAACAGAGGAGGATGCATTTCTATATTTAGAGTGGATGCCACCTGTCTAGCAGTATTTTGACGAATACCAGTTGACCCCAGAAGTGCCGATAAAAGAAATAGTACACCGACAGGGCAAACTGCATAGTTCTCATCTTTGTCATCAAAAGGAACGAAATTAAGTCATGAGATTTAATAGTGTAAAATATTCCCATATCGCATGAATTAAAAGTCAATCTGAACGAGGAATATTCTTTTTAATAATTTCTCTTCAGGTTCTTACAATCATAAAGTATAGTATTTGTTGTCGTTACAATAATGATAGCCAGTTATGTGGCGGATACATTTACGTTTAGTACTCCCTGGTTTTTAATGGTTCTCTAACTGATATCAATCCGTGATCAACTCGTAAAAACATAACTAACCCTTACAAACCAAACTGTAGAATAACAGGTTAGTTATGGGGTGTGAAAATAAATAATCATATTTGTGTTGCAAACTTGCCAGGCTGAAATCGATTACAAAATATTGTAAAATGGGAGACAATGGTGGTGATTATCCTTGATAGATTCGTAGAATGTGGTGTAGGAAAAAGTAACAAGTCAGTTCAAGGTTATAAAAGGTGTCAGGTGAGTGGCTAGTACAATGTAGTGTGTATTAAAGAGGAGATAGTAAGACTACTATGAGAAGTTCATCATGAAATAACCAATATGTGAAATGAAACAGGTGGAGGTATATATTGAGAAAAGAGATAATATCACTAATAATAAGTCCGGATAGTATAAATGGAAAATTTGATAGTATTGAGAGAATGTTTACATTAAAGGTATAAATTATGACGAATAATAGTAATAATAAGCAAATAAAGAAAAAACCAAGAGGGTCAAGGGGAAGAAGTACTCTTGGTGAGAAAATGAGTCATCAATCCATGTTTGGTTACGATAGGAACAGTGTCTGGACGTGCTTTTTTTCGGGATACGTTTGTCACACAGATACGATTATTTATTTTGACACCCCATAACTAATCTGTAATTCTACGTAAAAAATGTATCCGCCGCAAAACTGGCTGTCATTATTGTAACTCCGACAGATATTGTGTTTTATAATTGTACGAGCATGAAGAGAAATTATACAATTGGTGGATGGTGGCTAGCAGTGGAATCCAGGATGCGCATTTCGTCCTATTTGGGACTCGTCAGCTGGAAATGCGCATCCTGGATTCCACTGCTAGCCACCATCCACCAATTGTATACTAACTAAATGCCCAGACATCGTCGAAGCATCTGCACAAGGAGCCGACATGTCAACCTGAGACCGAGCACTTCGGTCCAATCAATCGACGGGAAAATCAAAAATTCAATTCAATAATTAATATGACCCGTCGCACAAGAGGTGGCTCTCGTGGCCCAAGTGGTCTAGTGGATAACGCTTTGGCGTTTGAAACTATGGGTACTGGGTTCGAGCCTCAGTGGGAACATCATCACTCACTGAGAAATGCAGGTACATCCAGCTGACGAGTCCCAAATAGGACGAAATGCGCATCCTGGATTCCACTGCTAGCCACCATCCACCAATTGTATACTAACTAAATGCCCAGACATCGTCGAAGCATCTGCACAAGGAGCCGACATGTCAACCTGAGACCGAGCACTTCGGTCTAATCAATCGACGGGAAAATCAAAAATTCAATTCAATGAAGAGAAATTATTGAAAAGAATATTCTTCGTTCAGACTGACTTTTAAAGTTAAACTCAAAATCAAATAAAGTGACAAATGAATATAGGATTTTATCTGGAACTGAGCATATTTCTATCACATTCGCCAAATTTATACCATGATAAAGTGTAAAATACAAAAATATCTCAGTAGAGATTATCTTGAATTGAAATGAAGCCATTAGTTTGTAAAATCAGAAATATGACAAAGTGATTTCACAAGAGTGAGGCCGGTTACCATACACATTTGCAAGGACAAACCCTAGGGTTTTGTGCTAATCATGTTGATTACATTTATTATAGGTTTTTTATTTTGACAAATGACCAAAATTGTTTTATAGGAGATGCTGTTATACAAGTCTACTTCGTGAATTTGAGTAAGTAGAAAACTATTGAATTCTTAAAGGAAAAAGTCATTCATGATAGTAGGATCAAAAGCTCTTCAGTAAAACGTCACATATGTACATACTGACTCCATAAGCTTGCTGTTTATGCATGCACTGAAGTTGGAAATACGGTGATCCAGAATCAGTGACAGTATATGCATGCAGAATGAAAATACGAACTGGAGGATTCAAGATTGTACCTTTACATATCACCCCCACCCCCAACAGATTTTAACATTTATTTCGAAGAGTGAACGGAATTCACTAATTAGAATACACAGAATTGGTTCAATCTACATCTGTTACAGAGAGTTTTGCTTATAGAAGGAGTATTGTAGGAAAAATTATAAACCCTAGTCCTTTTAAATGCCGCTGAAACATATTACTTCAAGAAGGATAATATAGGTTCCTCAAAAAACTATGTTTCGTTTGTTAAAATGTTTTAATGTTGCAATAAGGTAAAAAGATCATGTATAGTTTAAGTTGTTTGTTCATTCTGGTAATAAGACACACGATAACATGGTTAAATTTATTTTTAACATTAACACTTACAACTCGGTGAATACGTGGATTGTAGGAAATTCCGTGAAAAATTATTATAGCTGTATTGTAAAGACATTTTCGACGTATACCTTTTAAAGGAGTGATCTTGAATCTGCTGAATATATACACCTGTGATGATAAAAAAATCCTATCCACTTCAGTAAAGATGGAACACCTACGTCGAAAACAACTTGTTTTTTTCATCTATAAGATGACTCTAATACTAAAAAAGTATAATACATTTACATGTACTTAGCAAGAGAGCAAACAAAATTAGTAGGCTGTTTTTGTCGTTCTAAACACTAACATGTTGTTTTACACATGAAGTGGATGAAATAATGATGTTCAACACTTGACTCAGAAAGCTACTTTGCTCTTCATCTCACAAACATTTGAAGTTTCTAGGCTTAATTACGTAAAAATGATTGAAATTATCCTGGTCATATGAATGATTTCTTTAGCTTAATGTTAAGTTGTATTACCCATAACTTTGAACACAAAAGTCATTTTAAAATAAGAATTAAATGTTATGGGAGTAAATGTTTTCGATTCCGACTATGATCAGTTTGAAGGTGAATACATGTTTAGTATATACTGTGCGATTGTATTGTTTGGTGGCTAACTTAGGTTTTCATTGCTAAGTACTTGCCTTAGCAATAGTATGGAGAATTTCTTAGTTTGAATGAAGTGTATAAATTCATTTTGTCTGCACTTGCTCCAGAAAAGATAACCGTCGGTTATAAATCCTTATAAGACATGACGAACTACATTTTTGTTGTATTCATCATTATACATAAATAAATTTCTTTTTTGGCACGATGATATATCCGAATGTCACAAAAATCTGACTCTTAAACAATACACTCCGCCTAGTAATCTATTGATTTGAGGTACAAGGATATCTACTGGGCGATGTGGGATTTACTAGGTGAACACACAAATAAGAAATCAGATAGATTTCACCTCAATGTTAAGAAAGTGGGAACGCTGTTTATAGGATGCAAACTCCGTAATAGGCTCAGATCACTACCTGGTGTAAGGAACAGTCAAGGAAGCTGAAGATAGACCACACTTCAAGTTCAGCTCCTAAAAGCACAAGAATGAAGCTACAAGGGCCACGTCTACTACAGTCATCGAAAAAAAGTAGAAAACTTTAGGCTACATCACAAAAGGAAACCTGAGTTAGTGATAGAAACCTGTAAAGACATCTTAGTCAAGAAGAAAAGGTAAAATAAAGAAAGACTTACTATGGAAACGTGGAAGCTAATAAAGGAGAAAAGGATTAAGAAGCAGAAAACAATCCAGTGCAGAAATGGATAATGAAAGGAGAAGCTGTGTGTAGAAAAGATAAAAGACAATATTACTAAGAACCAACTACTGAAGCGGATTACGCAGCTATATATATCAAATAATAAGATTGCTACCTAGGAAGAGCTTAACTTAGATGAAACCAGTAAAAGTTAGTGAAGGGAAGAAAATTACATGAGAGACGGGAAAGAGGAGACTCTGAGGTGTTCACCTTATCCACTTAAGGTCCTACCATAAATACTACCAGCAGATTCAGAAATACGAGTAAACAGTAGAGATCCGACAAAAACAGAAGTTTCGAGGGTGACAAAGTTGTTAAATACCAATCAAAATGTAACAGGACCTGACAAAGTACACTCTGAGGCTATCTTACTGACCCAGAGACCCTATTGGATAGGCACATGCCACTTCTGAATGTGTGGAAGGAAGAAAACTACCTTCCTACGGGAAAAATGGCCAACCTGTCAAATGACCAAGAATGGGTGTCTAAACCATGTGCCAGAGCTGACTTGGCAGCATGCTTCTGTCTACCCCAACCAAAATATTATTCCACATTGATTTGTAGAAACTAAGAGATGCTCTGGATGCGTAAAATGGCCCATGACAGGTTGGATTCAGGAAAAACAAACCATTCGTGGATCTAATTGCAACATTAATCATCATCATCGAACAAAGTGAAGATGGCACTCAACTACTTACCTCAACTCAGCCAACTCTGAAAAGGCCCTCGACAGTGAAGACGGCAAAATATTTGGTAGCTGCTCCAACACTACACAGTGCGGTGCTTCAAACATCTTTAAATCTTGTTCAACATCTATAAGGTAATGCCACATGACAAATAATTCAAAATGGAAAACCAAATGAAAAATCTGAAATGAAAATGGGAATACGACCAAGAAGGCTAGTTGCTGTCATCGGTAATTAGCCCAAAAACAGGCACTGACCATCACGAATAGCAAAAATCTAAAGAAAGTCGTACCTTTCGCTTAACTAAACAGAACTGTTTCAACTACAGGTCGGTGACATTGATGAGACTGTTCTACCCTGAACCTAAAGTATGGATAATAATGATAGTTACATAATTTCTGGTACTCAATGTGACCATAGACTATCAGTATGCAATTCAGTGTAAATTTATGGCAGATATGAAATTCGAAAGATAGTTGAGGGAACATATTATACCTAGAAATGCTGCATAGTTATCACTTACTCAACAATAAAACGCTATACATTGTGTTCAACTCAACTATAATCTACTAGTTAGTCTGATCACACATACTTTATCTCAGGTTTCCCAGCTTCTACGAATTCGTGATGTTTAACGAATCAATATCCAATGTCATTGTATCTCACTGCTAAATGACTTAACCCTGTGTTTGTAGACAATTGTGTTCTACTATAAAATGAAGATTGAAGTAAGAATATCATCATACTGTGTTTTTGTCATTTGAATTTTTTCAAGGACTTGTTGCCGTTTGGATGCATTACTGTCGATTTGAACAGCCATTGACAGTGACTATTTCCAGAGCATACATTAATCAGCAGGGAAAAAAGACGCGTTTTACATTATCGTGTTATATTGAGAGAAATCTGACCATGTTTCTCACATCCGAATCCTAGTAAATTTCACAGTAATTAAGTGAAAGATTCTCTTTAGACCTGGATCTAAAAACAGGATTTTTCACGATACTTACGTTATTAACAATCAGCATACTTATTTTTCAACGTCGTGAGGTTACTAAATTATACACTGGTGGAGAACTACCTATGTGACTGACAAAAAGTGCGGTTGAGAGTTTCATCGATCCCATTAAATGATGTATAACTGGCACTGATTCAACTACTTATGACATTTAGAAGGAATTAATCTTCTGAAAGTATACAAAACAGCTGATATGAAGATAGTTTATGCTTGTTGAAAAATCTTATTAATACTTATCTTGGTGTTGTTCACATATCCAAACACTTTCACCGAATACTCATAAATTATTTCGATTTGACACTAGTAACTAGTGTGATGTGCCTAGTCCTCTCTTTGGCCATCAACTTGTCAGAATTATTGTCACATTCCAAGCAAGCTAAATAGGTTGGCATGTCTAATGACTTTATTACATGTGGTCAAATGGAAAACTGATACAGACAGGTTGTGAAGTTATGAATTATAAGTGTTTACGGTTCTACTTACTGCTCTGTTGACTTGTAAGGGAATTAATAACGTGTATAATCATCGGATATTAATTGCTCTTAGTTACAGGGTTTTTGTATTACTCATCTAAGGTAAATAACAAGCGGATTATTTGATTGAATACTAGTAACTAGTGTGATGTGTCTAGTCTTCTCTTTGGTGCTGACTGAATCGTATCAGACAGGTTTGTAATGGGGCCACCATTCTAGGTAGCTCGCCATCACGGTGCACATTGATCTGATGATATTAGATGGTTGGAGGCAATCGTCAGGAAACCTTGAACCTAGGTTTCGCGCTACTTGGCACTCACTAGTCAGCAAGGCGTATCTGCACCCTCGAGGGAACTCATGTCCCTTCTGAGATTCGAACCCGCATCACCCAGTGCTGCAGTCAGAGACTGACAGGATTCAGTCTGCACCAAAGAGAGGAATAGACACATCACACTAGTTACTAGTGTCAAATCAAAACATCCACTACAGTCCTACAGGAGGTCAATGGCGAGTCTAAATAGCTCAGTGGTAACGTCTCTGACTGACTGCACAGCTGGGTGACGCGGGTTCGAATCTCAGAAGGGACATGAGTTCCATCAAGGTTGCAGATACGCCTTACTGACTAGCCAACTGACTTGCCAACTAGCACGAAACCTAGGTCCAAGGCTTCCTGCCGATTACCTCCAACCATCTAATATCACTCATAAATTAATATAACTGTTTTACTCCTCAAAGTTCACTGTTTGAACAATAACGTTTGATGTTATACAACACTATCACCTTATTGGGTCACTCGTTCATGCATAAAATCCTTTATGAAAATAGATTAGACTAACATGTAGTACTTCAGCAACTGTATATTTCATATTTACTCTTTAAGTGTTGGACTTCTTTACATAAACAATAAAAATATTGATGTGGTCCGAAGAAAACTGGAGTAAAGTACCTGTTCACTTATTTCGTTTTTTGTCATATTAACAATCGAAAAATATCAAGCTTCTCTGTATTCAGTTTAGTAAATACTATTCCATATGGTGTGTTTTCCACTAATCGTCATAGAATCTTTATTCACCAATGTTCAGCTTCATGAAACTGATGGTTTTATTTATGATCACATCACAAGCAATGGGATACACTTATTTATTCTTGTCACTTACATCAGAGACATCATCTTAATATGTACAAAAGATATCAAATTCACCTTCCGAGAAAAGGCATACAAACAATTTGATGGTGTTGTGATGGAGAGCCCTCTTCGACCCTTGTTAGCAGATATATTCATGTCAAAATTGGAGTGACAAGTGTAAGGTATGATTGGACAATTTATGCTATATAAACGTTATGTAGATGATACTTTTATTATTGGTAATAATAGTAAGTCTGTTGAAAACTTCGTTACTCTATTTAATCATATTCATCCAAATATCCGAGTGACTTCCGAACTCGAATCGATTAAGAAACTGGATATTACAATAACCAGAAGAGACGACGGAACGATTAAGCTACCTATTTTTCATAAACAGACATAGAGTGGGCAATATCTTCATTTCACCAGTTTTGTTCCTATCCAGTGTAAATGTTCCCTAGTGAAAT